TAGATTTGTTATGTTTCCTAGGCTTCTTAGGGTGACCTATCATAGTAGGTGTCCTGTAGGGTCCAGTGGTACAGCCTCCCTGATCACCCCAGCTGGGCTCTCGAAGTGCACCTCTAGTATGGACTGTACACTCTTTTGTTGTAATTGAGTCTTGATTGCTGTCGGCACATCAATGGGAGGCATTTACTCAGGCTGATCAGATGTGAGGACTGGCTGTGACCACTGACCACTGGCCTGTGACTCCAATGGAGGATCAGTGGTGTAGGGGCTTAACACACAGAGCAAGACTTACTTCATCAGAGTTCTGGTACCCACTGAGTCCACTCATTGAGTGTGTCACTTTTGGAGGTGGTTGGGTGGTGGTGCTTTGAGGTGGTCTAAAGCTGTCCACTGGGTATGCTGGCTCTGGGGCAAGGTCAGCCACTGCCTGTGTTCTATTGCTACAAAGTGATCTGCCAATGGATGCTTCTTTTGCTGGGCTTGGAGGTGCCCAAAAAGCCAAGTTGTGAACCAAGGCTGGCTGCTTCTAATGCCAGGCCTGGGGCCACTTAATGAGAGGTATGGTGCTCGCTGAGACCAGATGCTGCTTGTTTGAGAGATTTTAGGAAACTCTGAAGCAGGATCCAAGACAGGCCAATCTTAGGGAAAAGCCTGTGGAAACAGCTTAGGTGGGCCCAAAAGTTGGGTGGGACAGGGCCTCAGGGAATCACCAGGGTAGGCCAGACAGTGTGAGCCAGGTTCCTGGAGTCCCAGGTATGGTGGCCACCTGCTGCCCTGGGAAAGGGCTCACCGAAGGATCAATGGCCTCTGACAGCACATTTGTCCAGGAGAAAGCGGCCTCTGCAGCCCTTGTCCTGAGGGCAAACAGCTCAGTCTTTCCAGTATGTCTCTCATCCTTTTCAAAGTATGTCTCTCATGCCTTTCAAGTTGCCTCCCCACACTGGAGCTCAGAGGGTGTGAGTCCCAGTAAATCCTTTGGGGGCCCTTTAAGAGGAGCTGCCTGGGGCTCCAGCAGCCTCAGCCTCCCTCTGCCTCAATTCCTGTTGGTGTTTACAGCCAGAAGTTATGGGGGCTTCTCTCCTGGCACTGGAACCCTGAGCCGGGGGGCCTCATGTGGGATGGGGACCCTTTGCTCCTCAGGGAGGACCTTCACAGAGGAGGTGTCCCTCCTGATTTTTATCTACTATGTGTGTGTGACCAGCCCATCTTCCTACCAGTCTCCTTGTGGCTTCTTGTTTAGTTTCATAGTTGGACTTTTGTCCAGCTTGATTTTAGGCGGTTTTGAATGATGGTTGCTCTGTAGTTTAGTTGTAATTTTGATCTGGTTGTGAGAGGAGGCAGGTGCTGCGTTTACCTGTGCCGCCCTGGTGACCGGAAGTCTCTCTCTGGTGTTCTTACCTCTCTGGTGCGGTGCTCCAGGCAGTGCTCGTGGGGAGGGACGCGGCCGAGGCTTTGCTGCGTTTTCACAAATTCTGACTTGCTAACATGCAAGCTTGGGAGGTTTTACTCCAGGAAAGTAAGAAATATCTTCCAATAATTTTAAAATCATCATTTAAATATATTTGGATTGCATTAGTATACTTAATGACACATCACAGTTAATTGCAAGATAAAGACTGAAGCCTTGAAACTAAGTTTTCAAAAATGTTGATTTTTCTTTAGTAGCAAAACCAGCTACTATGTACTGGGGACTTGCACAGTGTCGGATGTTATACTTTACATAAAATTACTTCTTTTAATTCCTATGGCAACCTTGAGGTAGGTATTTTTGTCTAATTTTACAGATGAAGAAACTATGTCAGACAGATTAAAGTAATTTTCCCAAGACTCCCACAAATGGGCTTTAAACTTCGGTCTCTTAGATTCTAAAACTTATTCTGTTTTAATACTTTGTGCCTTTATTTTGTGTTTTATTTTTTAACTTTTAATTTAGAAATAATTTGACTTATAAAATATTGCAAAAACAGCAAAGAATTCCAGTACACTCTTTACTCAGCTTCCCCAATCCACTGTATAATTGTTAAAACCGTGGAAATAACATTGATACAATGTTAGCTAATCTGTAACCTTGTTCAAAATTAGTCAGTTATCCACTAATATTGTTTTTGCAGAATAGGAACCAAATCCACACTGCATTTAGCTATCATGTTTTAGTCTCCTCCAACATGGGAGAGTTCATCAGTTTTTCTTTGACTTTTCAGACCATGACACTTTCTAAGAGAACTGGTCAGTTATTTTAGAGACTTTGATTGTATCTTTATTCTTTGGGTTTATGTATGCATTTAATGTTGAGATAAGAGGATTTTTTTCCTTTGTGTCACAATTATAAATGGTGCATGTCAAAGAACTTTGTTATGTCATTGCCAATTATTAGGACATTTTGTAATGAATGAGGGTGATGAGATGGTGGTTGGCCTTTGTTTAGCATGATGACCTCCCAGCCAGAGGGCCTTTGAGGATCACCTTGTGGTCTGCCACCCTGGCTTCACAGATGGCAGCATCAGGGTCTGTGACTTGGCTCCTGGTCTTTTGTTCTTTCTACTTCTTCATCCTACTGGCCTGAAAGGCCAATGAACAGCCATTCAAAATATCTTTGACTTAAACACAGTTAGTTTTATTATCATTGAAATTTTGATCAATCAATGACCCCTTTGATATTGGTATAAAAATACCTTTCCTTTTCCTTTAAGATAGATTATTGCTTTAGCTCATGAAGGACATTTGTCATAGCCCGTGGTGATTTCCTTGTGTAGCTGTGCACCAGATCTCTGCAGCAGCTCTCCTCCTTTTGCATGTACATGTTTGGAAGCAGTCTGGTAGCAAAGCTTCCCTTCGAGCTGATAAAACAGACCTGTTAATATACCAGACTTCTCTTAGGCATCTTTGCAGGATTAATCATACAGGTATGTCAGATCAACTGCTTCTTGTACTCTCTTGGATCATGCCATTTGGAAGTTGGTAAACAATGACTTCTTTTGAGGTCATTGGATCTTTTTTAAAAAAATTGAGGATGGGGTGATGAGGAGTATATTATAAAAGGCAGGCATGGACTTCTGAGCTTTTTGAAAGGTTGATAATTTACTGTTTACTATCTTAAGGGTATGCTTTATGAAAGCTTATGTATATATTTTTCTCCTGTAAGAAAGGTAAGTACTATATACTGATGAAGCTTCTCCCACAAATGTATTGAGTGTTTTTTCTGTGATTAGATGGATTCAGTTTCTTGGCCTCTCATTTTTCCTAGCTATGTGTTTGTTTTCACGTGTATTTGGTTTTTGTTTTTTTGCCAAGTATTTTGCAAGTTTTTGTTCTCTTACCTTTTAATATGTAAAAAATAAATGAAAGCAAGGTGTATGACAATGTAGGATATATTTTACCCTTGTTAGACTATTACATACATACAATGTGTACAATGATTTGCAATAAATCTGGGGGAAAGGAAGTTGATGCATTCTGTGAAGAAAGTAAAAATCGTAAGTTCAAAAAGAAGTCAAATATACCTTAAAAAAACACCCTTAAGTCACCCAGAAAATATGGCATGCATAGCGAGTGTACTCAGCCCCACACAGTAATTCTTATGCCACTGCAGTTTGTGATCTACTGAGCCAAGTCCAAGGGCGGCAGGGATTTTTGGAAGAAATCTGGGTCATCAGACCACTGTGCTTACGTGAGAGTGTCTAGGGTGGAGTGGAGACTGGAAAATCCCAGCATGCTCTTGCTCGCAGGCTTTATGCCATCAGGTTTTTAACACAAAGACTCCTCATCTTAACATAGGTTTACTGTTTGGGAGATGGCTAAGATAATTTGGGCACAGTACCTCTAATGCAGCACCCTGATGAGCACAGTAAATGCTCAATAGTCTTCAGTGGGTTGGTCCTGACCTAGCTTGGTCCAGTCCACTGTCACACCATTTGGAAAAGTGTCCAGATAAACTGGTCACCTGCTTCCTGTCTTCCCAGATTAGCATTACCGGTGGTGACCCTCTCTGACCAGCTTTCTCTCTCTCAGCCCCCTATTATCTGACTTCAGATAAGTTTTTGTGAATTAAATCAAGTTACCACAAGATGATGTCAGATCATTTCAAGTAATGCAGGTAGGGGGAGCCTCAGCACTATAAATTCTTAACTTTACACAAGTTCAAACATATACCTTTTGTGTCATGGTATTTAGTTATTATAGACGAACGTCTGATTTCTTTTCCCATTTCATATGGAAACCTGAGGCTCATGTCTTAAATTTCCTATGCAAAAATAGTTTTGTAGGAAAACGACTTGAATCCTGTGGATGATTTTACTGGAATGAATAGTTCAGGATCTCTTGTGTCTGGTTAATACAACTTCCATTTTACTTTTGTTATTTATGAGCATTTTCTAATAAATTTCCCCTTCCCCAAGAATTTATTTTACAGTGGCCTCTCTCCACAGTTTTCATCCCCCTATTATTCCTTAGCCTGGTTTATTTTCTCCTGGTGTGTGTGTGTGTGTGTGTATGTGTGTGTGTGTGTAGCTTAGGTGGACAGTCTTGGAAGGCAACAGAGAGTATCTGTGGGTAAATTACATTCTTGGCGCTCATTAGATGGCTGGTTTTGAGCAAATTACTTACTTTATCCAAGCCTTATTTCTCACATGTGAAACGGATAAAAACAACAAGATTGTGCAAGTAAAGCATTTAGCACAGTTCTTGGCACAAGGAACTTGATTTAATAAGGCAGGTTCAATATCAGTAGTATTAATTATTGATTAGCCCAGTGTAACCTTCCTCTCTGCATCGAGGGCTAGGCTGGCTCTAAGGAAGATTCCTCCTAGATTTCCTTCAGGCCCAGCTAATGATAGCATCACACTTACCTGGGCCAAAGTAGTAAAATTAAGACCCTTGCTTTAAAATGAGCCTTAGACATTGCTTGGGAAATATTTACTGTTCCTGCGAGTAACTGGTTACTGTGGACTAGTGCACTTTGGTGAAAGATGGACGGTCATTCTTCCCCGTGTGCTTTCTTTCAGTATCCCAACCCCATGGATAAAAATGTCATCTTGGTTAAAACTGTGGAGGAAAAAAGAGGTAAGTTCTGAATTCACTTTAGTGATGATCATTAAGTGATACTGAGTTTTGTGAAGTTGTGTGTTTGTGTGGTGTGCATGTGGCCTATTATGTTTCAAACAGCGTTACTTCTGTATTTGAGGGGACTGACGGGACAGAGCGCCCGGCACGTACAGCAGCCGAAGGCTTGCCTCCTGCGCTTTTGTCACGTCCTCAATTAATCATTGATGACCATTTTAACAGCTAACATTTTTGAGCATTTGATCAGTACCAGGCATATTTTTTTCTATTAACTCATTTAATCTTCAGAACAATCTATGGATAGGTATTATTATTACTCCTATTTAATGAACAAAGAAACCAAAGTAGAGAGAGAAGTAGCCCAGCTGGTGTGGCTCAGTGGTTGAGCGTCGACCCGCGCACCAAGAGGTCGCTGGTTTGATTCCTGGTCGGGGCACATGCCCAGGTTGTGGACCAAATCCCCAGTTAGGGGGGCATGCAGGAGGCGGCCAATTGATGTTCTCTCTCATTGGTATTTTTATCTCTCTCTCCCTTTCTGTTCCTCTCTCTCTAAAATCAATAAAGAAAAAAAATTATAAAATAAAAAAAAAAGAAATAACGTGTCCAAGGTCACATGGCTGTATCCCTATAACATATTTATACGTCATTTTATAGATAACAAATGGGTGTGATTAATAGCATGTATATGAAATGTGACTATAAAGTGAGTAGATTATGGGGTCATAAGTGTACTTAATATGGTTCAGTATTGACTAGAAGAGGGGATGATAAATTTTGCTTGTGTGGCCCATTGTTATAAATAAAGATGTACTGGCACTCAGCTGTGCCTGTTTGTTTATATTTTATCTCTGCCCGCTTCCTTGTGACAACAGCAGAGTTGAGTTGTTGCAACAGAGACTATATGACTCACAAAACCTACAATATTTATCACCTGGCCCTTTATAGTAAATGTTTACCAACCCCTTGACTAGGGTGTAGGAGTCTGTTTTGTTCTTTGCCCCTCACACCTCCCTTGGAAGCATTTTCCCTCTCAGAATTTGAATTTGAGAACTGGGCAGTGCAGGGAACAATAGTGATGTGCAGAGCTCATATCTAAACCTTTGGAGACACCCAGCCCCTGGTCTGACATGTCCTTGAGCCTTCTGAGTAAATGTATGAGATTCTACTGCTCATTACACGACTCTCAGGCCTTCTCTGTGCTTGGTGATCAGAAAACTGTCTTTTGCTTGTGAGATTATTTTCTGCACTTCCGTAAGTCTTATAAATATATTTTTTAAAAAACAAAACTTTTTCTCAGGTACCTGCACTCAGAGAAACTTGTCATTTGGCATCAGAGAATTATGATTTCAAGTCCTGATTTTGTTCTTATGTATATAACCTAATTTCTTGGAGGCTCAGTTTCTTTATCTGTTCACGGGGAAAATAATAAACCTGCTTTTAGGTTACTGTGCAGATCAAGTGAGAGCACAATGTGTGTATTCCAGGGTGGCATAGGAACGTTAATCGTAATTGCCACCATGGACAAGGGCATCTTTGACTGCAGGAGTGGCTCGTCCATTTTCAGTATGTGTGCTGCAGACATTGGATGAGATGGCCAGAGGAGTCCGATCGGCAGAGGAGACAACCAGTCTCTTACCCCGTCAACAGCTCTGACCAGTCAGAGGCTTGTTGGCACCAAGGTTCGGGGCGCCTGTAGCCAGAGCTCTGCGAAACCTTGGAGGAGTGTGGCCGAGTCACAGTAGTTCACAGAGCAAACAACAACACTTCAAAGTTTATCTTTTTCTCTAAGTTTATCTATTTGTCTAATTTGGTTTCCCTTTTTCTTAACTCACATTTATTGATTGGGGTTCTTTTGTTGTTGGTGGTGATGTTTTTTGTTTTGTTTTTTAAATATATTTCTGATGTGCTATTCTGGAAACTGTCTTCTAAAACAGTAGTTCCAGTCACAAGGAGTTTGTTCCCCTATAAGAGAAAAGTATGCCTAATATGATTAATTGTGCATTTAAATTTTGTAGCTAGAAATCTGGGCTTGAAAACAAGTGTGGTGCCCACGGTGGCAGGCAGAGCCCCCATTGTCTGGGACAGCATTCTCTCTGCTGGAGTTGTGCAGGAGGCTCACGGCATTGCCGTTGGCACGTTGACATTGGCCGTTCGTAGCACTGAACAACTGATTCTTTTATCCTTGCTTCGAGAAGGTGCACGTGTGAGTAGCTGTTCTGTATGTATTCCTTGACCACAGATGAGTGTATTTGGAGTGAGCTGGCCCAGAAAAGAAAAGTGGTCAGACACTAAGATTTGAGTTAAACATTTTCTTAAGGAATTCTACAGATAGAAAATTGAGCTTGACATTCAAAGTTTTATTGACCTTAAGACAAGAGTACATTTTCTTAAATATTTTTTTGAGTGTAAAAATTTTCTGTTTTCAGATGTGTCAACAGGGATCATCTATAGAAAGAGGATTGCAGTCTGTCAGAATGTGGTTCCAGAAATTTTAAGGAAGGTAAATTCATCTCAAAATTTTTTTTCTTTATTTTTATCCTCACCCAAGGACATTTTTTCATTTTTTTTGTTCAGGTAAAGTGGGAGGGAGAGAGAAGAACAGAGGGAGAGAGAGAAACATCGACGTGAAAGGGACACATTGAGTGGCTGGTACCAACATGACCAACCAGGGCCGGGGACAAACTGCAACCAAGGCACGTGCCCCTAGCGGGAACCAAACCCGGGTCTCCCTGGACCACAGGTCGACACTCCAACCGCTGAGCCAAACCGGCCAGGGCATCATCTCAAAATGTTATCAGCTTCGGTGTAACATTGGGTACTTCTGACAGTCATGAAGAGAGCGTGTTCTGATGGAAAGTTAGACCTTCCCCAGCTCTCCTACCTCATCGCCCTCCAGAGGAGTAAAGAGCTGTTATATTCAACCTCAGTATTTTTTTCTTCTTTGTATGAACCCCTGAGGTCCCACTTTCTAGAGCCATTTCCAGTGCCCTAAAAATCAGCCCGAGATCAGGAGTGAGAACTAATGCTTTTTTTTTTTTTTGGTATGTGCCCCTAGCGGGAACTGAACCCAGGACTCCTGTCCACAGGCCGTCGCTCCAACCGCTGAGCCACATTGGCCAGGGCAAACTAATGCTTTTTAAAAAAATATTTTAAAAATTAATTTTGAGCGAGAGAGAAAGGGAGAGGAAGAAAGAGAGAAACATTGATGTGAGAGTGGAACATTGATTGGCTGCCTCCTGCACGCCCCCTACAGGGGATGGAGCCTGAATCCCCGATGTGAGCCCTGATGGGGAATTGAACCGTCATCCTTTCAGTGTACGTGACAGCGCTCAATCAGCTGAGCCACACCACGCAGGGCCAGCCTCAGCTTTGACAGGTGCTACTAGAGATACTTATTCCTGTCTGGTTCTACATCTCTGTCTTTGGTGGAGAGCTCTTACTGGACACAGAGCTGGTCTACACTTATTTTGAAGATGCCTTGGACATTTGACATCAAGTAACCATCTTTCCTCGTCTGTCCATGGTTAGATATGACCCTTAGGTAAGAATGATCAGAGGTGGGTAGATATTTAGTCAGATCTGTAGTAAGGGAGATAAAAGCTTCAGTATCTATTCCACTGTCAGAGAGAACCATTATTTCAGGAAGTATAATGTTCTCAGTGCTCTCTGTGGGCCTTTCTGTGTATGTTTCTGTAAAGTGGTGGTATTGACAATGCAGTCTTCAGGATAGCAAATTGTTTTCTCTCTTTGAAATCCTTTAGCACACTGGTGATTGTTGGCAAAAAAGGTAAGTGGAAATTTTTAATCACATTGCTTGAACCATAGAGAAATTAGTGACAGGAACCTTTTTAGAATCATCAGGAAACATGAGGAGAGCATCCTGATCCACACTTTTTTATTTTTTATCCGCACCCAAGGATATTTTTTCATTTATCTTCAGACAGAGGGGAGGGAGGGAGGGAGGGAGGGGGGGGAGAGGAGAGAGAGAGAGAGAGGGAGAGAGAAACATCAATAAGTGAGACATCGACTGGCTGCCTCCTGCACAACCCTGACCAGGGCCAGGGGCAAACTGTAACCGAGGTATGTGCCCTTGACTAGAATCAAACCCATGACTCATTGATCCATGAGCTAATGCTCTAACCACTGAGCCAAACTGATCAGGGCCCATTTTAAAAATGTCTCAGATGGTTGTTTCAACCTGGAAGTGATTCAGTGTGTGATGTGAAACGCAGCTGGGCTCCTGCCAATGAGCTTGCACATCACATTGCTGTTTTGTTTGTAGAAAAGGAATGGCAGCTTCTGTCACTGCCTTATTGTGGATAAAGACTCCACCACATTCTGTAGTGGAAGGAAAGGTGATATAACAATGAAAATGAGCTTGCTTTTTTTTTCCAGGTGGTAAACTGTGTTGCAATATGTGCAGCAAATTATTACCGGCTTATTCCAGAGTGTGTACCTTGCCTGCCTCTGCCCTATATACATGCTTTGAATCTATTATTTAAAGGCATTCAACTTTGTGTTGCATCCCAATTCTTGAATAATTTAAGGACACCTCTGACTTGTACAATTATGCCGTTGTAGTTTTCCATGTCCCCTCCACCTAGGAAAGCATACATTTTTAGGTTTTAGACAGTTTAAAATGAAGAAAATATTTTACCTGATATCGTCCTATGTGTGAGCCCATAAGTGGACCCAATTAGAATCTATCAATTTAAGAAGGCCATAACCAGCCCTAGAGGTGACATGAAGGAGGCTGATAATTTGCTTAGTGTTTAGCAGGTAGGGAAATCAGGCCAGGGACTATACAGCCTGCATAAATCCTGGGCCATTTGCATGTCCTCACCTGCATTTAGTAAGGTCATAGTTTGTGTGGTTATCAAGGACTTACAGCCATTGGTGAGCCATCATCCATATATCAGGATCACTTGTCCTCTTAATTATCCAAGACTGAACGTGATTCTGGACACAATCCTTATGTGGCCTGTTCTTCCTGAATGGAGAAAGCTATTGTTTCTCTGTTGCACAGGTGAGCATTTTAAAGGTACCCAATATCCAGTTGGAAGAGGAATCATGGCTCAATCCCCGGGAAAGAAGCATGACTATACAGAGTCACTGCCTCACGTGGACACAGTATGCCTCCATGAAGGAAGAGTCTGTCTTCCGGGAGTGTATGGAAAATCCAAATTGGTAAGATCACGTTTGTGTGTGTTTGCGTGTTTGCGTGTGCATGTGTGTGTGTGCATGTAGGTTAGGTGCAGGGATGCACAAATGAGCACATGGGTTGAAAAGCTATGATTTCATACTTATAATCTCTATTTACAACTCACATAAATTTACACATTCATTTCTCATCACACAAGTGATGAATTAATACTTTGGATGGGAAATGACAGAGCTCGACTCCTTTCTAGTCACTCTATTCAGTCCTGGTGTCCTTTGCCTTCTCCGGAGGCCATAAGTGTCATCCTGTGCTGAGTATTTTTCTAGACTTTTAAGAGATACCTGTGGGCACTTACGTGTGTATTCACAGAGCTTGTATAGTATGGTTCTGTATATCATTTTTGTACATACATGCTTTCATTCTGTGTGAACCACTGTGTCCTTTTTTGCTTAATAGAATGTTTCTAAACTTTATCCACTACATATATGTGTATGTGTGTGTATGTATATATAAAATACAGCAAATTACTTTGCAACATCTTCAACCTTATGATTATGCTGTATTCTATTTACCTTTTTCTTTTTTGACAGACGTGGTGATTTCCAGTTTTTTTTTTTTTTTATTACAAATACTACTGCAATATTGATGAGGCATATATATATGGTCCTTGTAAATGCTATATGTGAATGTTTCTCTAAAGGGGAATTTTAAATTTCAGGTTTATTGAGATATTATTTACATATAATAAAATTTATTCTTCTTAATGTATAGTTCTGTGAGATTTGACAAACATATATACAGATGTGTGACCACTGCCACAGTGAAGTTATAGACCATCTGAGGTGTATTTTTAAAAGTTATATGCCATGACACTTCACTGGGGAAAGAATATTCTTCTCAACAAATGGTGCTAGCACATTTGGATAGTCACAAACAAAAGAATGAAGTTGGACCTCTACCTCACTCCAAATACAAAAATAACTCCAAATGGATGAAAGACTTAAATGAAAGAGTTATGAGTATAAAATTCTTAGAAAAAAAACATAGGTGTAAATTTTTGTGATCTTGGATTACGCAGTGGTTTCTTAGGTATGACACCAAAAGCCCAAACAACAAAAACAAACAAAAGGTAAAATTGAGTGAATCAAAATTAAAAACTTTTTGCTTCAAAGGATACAAACAACCAATGAAGATGAAAACAACCAATCCAGAGAATGGGAGAAAATATTTGTAAACCATATATCAGGTACGGGTCCAGTATCTAGAATACATAAAGGACCATTACAACTTAATAATAAAAAGACAACCCAAAGAAAAAATGGGCAACATTTTGAGTAGATATTTTCCAAAAAGATGCACAGATGGCCAATAAAAACACAAAAATATACTCAACACCGTTAGTCATTCGGAAGATGCAAATGAAAACCATGGCAAGATATGGCTTCAAACCTGCTAGGATGGCTGTAATTGAAAAGACACAATGACAAGTGTTGGAAGGATGTGGACCTGCCGCTGGTGGAAGTGGAGACAGTGCAGCTGCTGTGGAGAACATTCGTCAGTGCTTAAAAGTTAAGCGGAAAGTTACTACTTGACCCAGTAATTCTACATGTATTGAACACATGTGCATGTAAAAACTTGTACAGAAATGTTCATAGCACCATAATTCATTCATACTAGGAAGAATGTGGAACCAAGCCAAGTGTCCATCCACTGATGAAATAGATAAACAAATGTGTTACACCCAATCGACTATTATTCTGCAGTAAAAAGAAATGTAGTAAGATTCACGTTACTACACGGATGAAGCTTGAAAGCCTTATGCCAAATGAGAAAAGCCAGTTACCAAAGGCCACATATTGTATGAGTCAGTTTATCTGAAATGTCCAGAACAGGCAAATGCATAGGAACAGCAGGCCGACTCCTACTGTGGCCAAGGAGGAAAGAGAGTGGGGGGACTGAATGGGTGTGGGCGCTTCTTCTTGGGTGATGAAATGTTCTGGAACAAGTGGTGGTGGTTGTACAACTCTGTGAATGCACTAAATCCACTGAGTGAGTTTTATGATATGTGAATCATATCTCAATAAAAGAAAGCTGTATGGCTGGTGCTCAGAATATGCACATTTGTAGTTTACACAGATTCTGTCAAATTTCCTCAAATGTGTTAATATATTAAGTGATATTCTCATCACAGTATGTGAGTTTATTTTCCTAAAACATTGCCAGCACTTATATTAATGTACTTTAAATTTTTTCCAATATAATGAGTTATAAATGATTAATTCCTTTGAGATAGGTTTAAAAATAGAAGTAAAATATAATAAGCCCCAAATGTTCATGGTGATTGTTGCCATGAGCTATGATTTCAGAGGACAGTTTACTGTGTTTTTGTTTGTTAGTTTGTTTTGTGTTGTTCTGTATTATTTGAACTTTTTAAAATTATGTACCCATCATTTCAATAGAAATATTAAGGCCCTCAAATCCAAATAACTAAAAACCAAAAATCTCAAATCCATACTAAAGCTCTGTCACTTGTCCAAATCATTGCTGCCCCCTTAGTTTTGCTCCTGTAGTGCTGGTTCTAGAATCCATGCACTGAGTGACTGAATGCCAGGTCTTAATGGCATCTGAGATGGGTTTGCTTTGACCCACCCACTAGTTTTTTGTTTTATGTTTTTATTTTCTCAGTCTTCCTTCTGACAGGAACTTTATATAGAACTTAGATGTTGGGATAGAGCTTTTTTTCCCTTTTCTTTTTTGTATATAAAAATAGTAAAAGGAATTGTCTCGTTTATACAAAAACCACAAACGTCTTTCATTTCGTACTTTGTTTCGGCCTCGGTTTTCTCAGATGTGCTGCTATTGGCCAGCCTGAGAAGCTGAGCCGAACCTTCACCAGTGAGGTCTAACTGGCCCCGAGGATCCAGGGAAAACACCCTTCAGGACCTTCCCCTTTGTGTAGTTCTTAAAAGTTATTTCTAAAATCTATACTCTGATTCTGAAAAAAGTGATACACACATTTTATAAAAAATATTAAACAGTGCTGGGAAAAGACAGGAACCATTTTCTTCACCTAGCAGTAGTTTAGGTGATTGTCTTGGCCCATTCTGAGAGGCATTTAGATTGTTTCTGAAACCTTTGCTGTTAGACAGGAGCAAAGTGGGGTTCCTGGGCAGAGGTCATGCACATGTATATTTTACATGTATTGCCAGGTTCCCAGAGAAAGGTGTAACCAATTACACTTTTCTTTATTTGGTCTGTTACATTCTTGTCCTCTCCAAAACACTCTCGCGTTACTGACACAGCAGGTCAGTATGTATTGACACCTGCTATGTCAAGGTCAAAGCTAGGTTCTTCACCGGCAGTGTGTTGAAGCTCAGGTTAAGAACTTGCTCATGGTGATACAGTCGGCGGGTTGCCGAGCCAGGGTGTGCGTCTAGGTGTCATGGCCTTGATACCTGAGCAGAGTGGTTGGTAGCAATATGGACTTTTATCAAGAATGGGTTTATTGCAAACTGCAGGGTGCTTTGGCTCCCAGGTTATGTGTGGATTTTATGTTTTGTCTTTTTAGCAATAAGCAACCCCACAAAGGTTTCTGAGCAGGTGATGAAACTGTGATCCAAACTCTAGCAAACTCAGGTTTTCTTATCTCTTCACTTGGATGTGGAAAGGCACCTTAGGTAGGCATTCTAAATGAGGTCATCTTGGGGGACATCAAAGAAGGACACATTGTTACTTTTATTCCCTCCTTTGCCGGGGAATGTGAGAGGAATGGCTAGCTACTGCACCCAGAGATGAAATGTGGACAATGTGTTTAAGAGGAAAATAAAGCTGTCACGGCTGCTGAGTCTAAAATTAGACCTGCCCGCTCTGTGTGGGTTAGCAGGTGTGTGAGAGGGGACACCAGACTGTCCCTGAGCACGGCCAGTTGGCTCAGTTCTGAGATGAGCTGGACAAGGGTTTCCTGTAGGCTCTGACTGCACCTCGCTCTATGTCTCTGCAGAGACCCAGTTTGGGCCCCTGCTGCGGCGGCTGCTGCTGCAGCATCTCCTCAGGCAAGAGCTACGCCAGTCTTTCCCGTCCCTGGGACCACACAGTTGTTTTCTAATGTGCTTTCCTTATTACTCCGTCGGACGTTTTCTTCCTGCAGTTTTTATGAAATGGAGTTTATATCCTCTTTGGGAGATGGAGTGATGTGACATTTCTCACTGTTACCTCCCTTTTCCAGAGCCCAGCTGGGCACTCCCTGCCCGAGCAGCCCTGCCCGTGCTCTGTCCCCTCCCATGTCAGCCAGGCCGCCTTTCAGAGCCGGTCAGAGACTCTCCAGTGCTGACCAGCACCCACACGCGTGCTGTGTGCCAGGACTGCTGTGCGTGCTCCATCTGTGTGTGTGTGTGTGTTTGTGTGTGTGCGTGAACTTACTTATACACATATATGTCTGCACACTTAATCCTCATAACAACCCTGTGACACTGGACTCTTCTCTCCCCATTTTACAAACTGAAGTCACGTGTACAAGGTCAGACGGCCAGTATGCGTCAGAGCCGGATTCAAACCTGGGACTGTGGCTCCAGAGCCTCTGCTGTTGGCAGACACCGGCCTTCCTGCCAGTGAGGAGCCGCATCATCTCGTCACCACGTGGGCTGTGGCGCCAGAGTCCCTGTGGATCCACATTGTTTTTACTCGGGTTTCCTCAAGGCAGCCCGTGGTAACTGGGTCATCACACTTCTTGTCCACACTTAGTGAGGAAAGAACTGAGAGGGAGAGAACCTGTCTCCCTCCCGAGCCCTTCCGCTAAGTCTGTTTCAGTCGACTGGGATCATCTGCCCCGTCCTGGACCAGTGAAGTGATCGGAGGACTGATACGGGCTGACTGGCCCTCACCAGTCAGGATCTGCCCCTAGAGCGGGGGTCGCGTCAGCTCCCCCTGAAACTGGGGGAGGGATGGCCACCTGCACAAGAATAATAGGAGTAAACTAGCGAGGAGGAGACCCCACACGCCCTTTCTCCTCTTTATGATGGTGCCATTG